CAACTGTAAATTATGGGAAGGGTGCCACCAGTGGTCCACGATCAGCCCCTGAGTGCCAGGTTCACCCTCTCCTGCTGGCAGGTAGCCTCGCGGCCAGCACCCTACATGCAGGTTCCCTGATGTCCACAGACCTGCCTGTGGATCATTGTGTCCTCGTGTTTGTGAAACATTCTGGGGTGTACCCACTCTGTCCTCTGGTACTGATTTTCTTTTGTCTCTAGACATACTATTTCTGAATTCCTTTATGTATACGTCTTTTGGTGTATATGTCTCCATTTTTGCCATCTCGTAGTTATATATTTCACCCTTGTGCTTGAGTGGTCTTTTCACACAGCAAACAATTCTAGTCTGAGGGTGTAGCGTTTCTGCACTTAGAAGGTATTCTTCCATCCTGTCTTCTATCTGGCAGATGAAATGCTGATGCCAGCGCTTTTGGAGGGTTGCTGGCCCAGGATGTGCTGTGACTAATGCAGCCACAGGATGGACCCCTCAGGAGCGTCCCAGCCATGGCACCTTGAGAGTGGCATTGTGTTCTCACAGGATTTTGAGGGGATGTTGAGGTTACCAAAGGATTTCTGTTACCCCAGCACAGAAGACGTGAGGGATGAATCCAGCATCGTCCTCACTGTTTGTTAATGGTTTTCAGGGCCCTCTCTCTCCTCACTGTGAAGAGAGAAGTTTTGAAATAATGCTTAACCGGGATTGTCATGGATTTGGGGGGAAGGGGGCAGCAGCTTAATGGAGGACTCTCCTTCACCTCTACGGCACCTCCATTTAAATAACCTGATTATGGGGAAAGTGACCCAGCTTCTCAGAGTGAGAAAAGCCCCATGTAGAAACAAACTGTCGTCGTCTTCTTCAAACAGAAAGCCTATCTTTTACTCCATTTCCCAACCTTTAAGCAGCTCACGTGGCAAAGGGGTTAGGTGCTTGGCTCTGAACCAAAAGGTCGGCAGTTTGAACCTCCCAGTCTGTTCCCGTAGGGATGACAGCCTTGGGAATCCTCGGGGCAGTTTGACTGTGGTCAGGGTCACCAGGAATGGGAATTGGCTCGACAGCAATGACAGAGGAGGTGTGAGCAGTGAACGAACGCCCTCAGCTCCCAGCTCTGCTTCTTTCGTTTCTGTGGCTGAGGCTGCCCAGAGCCACCTGGAGGGTAAAAGTCATTAGAAGGGGAACAGAAATAATGACATAGTCCGGGAAACCCGCTCCCATGTGTCCCAGATATCACTGAGAAGCAAATGGCAGTTTGAGAGCCTTGCTAGTCACCGGTGTTTTGAGAAGGTTGGAGCATGAATGTCGAGGCTCAGGTGTCTCAGAAATGCTCTTCAGTGGAACGAGTGTGAGTTTTGAAGGAAGCATAAAACTGGCTCCATATGGACGCGCACACTGAAGCGCTGTTTTGTGTTACTACCGTCTGCTTTTTGCCAGGCTGGCTGTATGGGAGGGATTTATACCAACAGGCAAGGTCATCGTTTTCTCCCAGGTGTGGTCACTGGGGAATCACGTTTGTCCCTGATGTGAGAATTCACTTCTCGGGAGCTTGCTTACCTCTGAAATCTGCGTGCCTGTGGGTGTGTGCTTATAGGTGCCCATGCCCAGCACAGCTGAAATACCTCAGCAGAGCGGGCATCTCCGCAGACGTGGAGGCGGGCAGAGGCGCACTGGAGGAGGTTCAGAGACAGGGACAGTGTGGAAGGCTCCCAGAACACCAGAGTGTGGGCTGAGCTGAGGGGATGGGAAGACAAAGTCACCAGTGGTCGTGAACCACATACTCCTTAAGAGAACCCAAGTTTACTATTGACCACACAAATCATTTTGGGTCCCAGAAACCCTAAACGTACTGGTTTTGAAATCCTCACTATCCTCTCTGATGCCTTCCACATGATTGCGCACGTAGGTGTTTAAATGGGTGTCTCCCCTGTGCAAAGGGAACGTGTTTTAGGGATGTTTTGATCTAATTGGGGGCCCAGAATGTTGTAAAGTATGAAAGTAAGGATATATCTTCTGGTGATTAGTTACATGACAGGCCTTCACAAATTTGTGGGAAGATGGTTAGTAAAAAGGTAATTGTCGTGTTCTCCTGGAAACCTCGCAGTTCGTTTTGGACGCATCCATCCCATTGCATTTATTGCTCAGTTAACACATGGCCAAGGTGTCATGTTTGGACTCAAAGGAGGCCGATGTGGCGATGGGGAGGAGAGCTGGTGGCTGGCTCCTAAGAAAGGTGTTAAGTGTGGGCGGCTGTAACAGGCTCTGGAAGCCCTGAACTCTGATCCTCAGGGGCTGCCTCTCCGTGGGTTAGCAGGAGGTGACTGGGTGCATCCGCCTCATTTCTGTTTCTCACCTGTCAGGTGTTTCATTTATTTCATGGGCAGAAAACAGTTGTCATGCCGGAACTGCTAGTTAAGCATGCTAAGCCTTGGAGGCTGTAAGCTTTATTTTTTGAAAATAGATTTTGTTCCCATTGAAGCATTTAAAATAAGTAGCATTTCCCAACCGTCTTTATTTTCACAACCAAACCTGCTTTGTTTCTCTTTTCTTGAAGTCTAGACCTCTCCTCGTCCCTTTAATGTTCTTGCTTGTGACAAATAAGTAAATGTCTCTCAGCCATATGGATGCGTCACAGGCAGGAGGAAGAGGGGCCCTCCCTGGTCTGTCCTGAGACCTCCACACGGAGCCCCCCATAAATCCCTGCGCCTTGTTCAGAGCTCTTGGGCCGCCCTGGACGCCACTCAGGTGACACTGTTGGTCCTTTGTCCAGAATAATGCCCTGAGCTTTGTCCCTTCTGCAGGCAGCTCCCCCTGGGTTCCTAGAAGAGCAGTCAGTGCAATAGGTCCCGCAGATGGGCCAAGTTTGTTCGCAGAGACTTCCTGGGTGTTTCCAGGGGAAAATAATCTTCCCTTCGAGTCCCTAGGGCTACATGCTGTCAGGATTAGAACTCCACAATAGAGAAACTGAGGTTCACAGATGCTTACAAATAGCCAAGTCTCCTGTAGCAGAGTTTTTTGTTACGGAACACCCAAACAAAAACGCATGCTGTCATTCGATTCTAACTCATAAGCCACCTGTAGGGCAAAGTAGAACCATTCCACCAGAAGCAGATAGTCTCATCTGTTTCCCAGGGAGCAACTGACTGTGGGTTCGAACTGCCAACCTTGTAGTTAGCACCCACTGCTTAACCCACTGTGACACTAGGACTCCTATTATAAATACTTCCCTAAAAAGAGAATGCTGTTGTTGTTGTTAAGTGCTATTGAGTTTGTTCCAACACATCCTGACTCTGCATAGAGTTTCCGAGGAACTGGATTTGAACTGTCACCTTGTGGTTCAAATCAACCATGCAGTCTAGTGCTTATCGTACAGTACCATGAGAAAATGTTTGAGGATACCCTGTAAAAGTTGTAGAATTTAAGATTTTCCTTTTTGTGCTGAGTTTGCTCAGTTTCCCTGTGGTGATAAGTACCAAAGTCCTTGCAATGCAAAGGGCCTTTGTCTTGAGGTGGCCAGCATTGAAGGGATGAGTGGGGCAGATGGTCAAAGCAGGCCAGGCAATAAATAAGGGAAAGGATTTACAACCAGGAGAGGAGTTACAGAAATTAGCTTTTAGGGAAAACCAGAAATTGAGAAAGAATTTCATATATAATGAAAGGAAGAAAAGAATAAAGATTAACAAGGGGTTCAACAAGAAGTCTATTGGTTTCGGTAGTAGCTAGTAGAGTATCAACTAGGGGAATAAGAGGTTTGAGTATAGGAGTGAGTAATCACGTGAACTCAGGCATTTCTGTGGATAAAGAGCCATCTCTGATGTGAGTGCTGTTGTTTTGATATTTCATACCTTATTGTTTGCTTAAGTGATACAAAAAGGTAACTGTTTCACCTTTCCCCTTCTCAATCCTTTGTTTTCCATGCCTCTTGCAAATTCCTTCCTGTTACTGTTATCAAGTCAGTTCCAACTCATAGCAACATTGTATATGGTTTCCCAGGCACAGTTGGTGGGTTTGAACTGCTGACCTTGCCAGTGAGCAGTCTAGTATTTTATCCTACGGCCCTGCAGTTATTGTATCTTAACCTGCACATGAGTGCCACCTAGTGGTCATGAAACCTGGATCATTTAGTTCCCTCGAGTGAGCGAACTGAGGGTGAGCTGCTCTTCAGTCGCTTTTCTGCAGATCCTTGGTGTGAAGTGTTTTGAAACTTTTGATAACGACATCTAAATTTAATTCTATCACTTGACTCCTGGTGTGGCACTGTGGGTTAATGTGCCAGACTGCAAAGCCGTTTGAACTACAAGGTTGGCGTTTCAAGCTCACCAGCTGCTCCTCAGAAACCCTATACAGAGTCGCTATGGGTCAGAACCGACTCGATGGCACTTAACGACGACAACAACAACAGCTTAAGCTAAAGAAAATCGTTGGCATTTCCAGCTTTTCTGCATGCATGCTCCACTGCTTTATCTTAGACAAATCCTGAAGTTTCTATCTTAAACTTGTGTGAAACTGAAATGCCCACCTTGATTGCATGGGTGAATTTCTCATCCAAAAAAAGATTCTTAAGACCCTCATCTGTTACAATAGACCCAAGGGAGTTTACTGAACTTCCTGCATCTCGTAATATGTTCAGTCTGCTTTCTACAGAAGTCATACTATTGAATTAGAACTGTGCTTGCTAGAATGGCTTTATATCATCAGTATTTGGGGGTGGGGAGAAAAAAAAGCACAAAAGAACACTTTATTTATACATCGCACTTTGCAGTGAGGCAAACGTTTAAGATCGCCAACAAAAACGTTAAAAACCAAAGAGCAGCTTCTTAAGCCAATCGTGTGTTCATGTTTATCCCGGAAACTGGTCGGCCCCAGCCCTTCCTTGAGTGTGCTGGCCCTCTGAAATCTCCTCGTGGAAAGAGAAATGACTTAACATGCTGTTAATACTCTTGTAAGAATGTCATAGTAAGTAATTTGGTGGCGTTTTTTTTAATACCCTTCTTTTTATATTTCAGAAAAGATGTTGGTTTAAAGCGATTTTTCCCTAAGAGTTTACTGGATTCTGTCAAGGTAATCAGCGTCTCCTTTATTGTAAACCACTAATCAACTTTTGTGAATACCTTTGCCCCAGAGGGAAATTGATTCTGGAAAAATGTCGTTTTCCTTCCTTATGTGTAATGGCTGTGATTTAAAAGGCCAACTGTTATTCTAGTCATGGTTAAACAAACCCTACGTACTTGGCTTCTCAAACAGTTTAAACGACTGTTGCCTCGGCATCTTGGCCGGGTACCGTGGGCGTCCATTCACACTGGCTTTTCTGACTGGCTGTGGTGTTCTACCTGCACCTGCTCCGTAATGTTTAAGTCTCTAGAAGATTGTTGTCCGCTAACACCCAGACACTCTGGGTGCCTCAGACATGACATTTCTTTCTCTCAAGTGTTTGTTGTCTTTTTAAATTATACCAGTGAAGTATTTAACACAATTTGAGAGATTCTACAAGGTTCTGGTCACTGTTCTTCGGATGAGGCAAGGCCGTGAGACACCAGGAAACCAAACGGCCTCCACAGATTGGAGGAGCCTTAGACGACCAGACTCACTGCCGTGGAGCCAATTCCGACTCACAGCGAGCGAGCCTGGGGGACAGAGTCCAATAGTCCTCTAGGGCTTCTGAAACTGCTGCTCTTGACGAGAGCAGACTGCCTCATCATTCTCCCAGGGTTTGAACCACCAACCTTGTAGTTAGAAGCCTGCTACATGACCCACTGCGCCACCAGGGGTCATTCCTAAGGAGACAGGCTGCCTCAGTGCCCCATGGCATCCTGGATGGGACCCCGGAAGTTGTCTTTAACAAGGATAGTTGGGGGGCGGGGACGGAGGAGAAAAAGGACAATTGTTGTCAAATTAGTGGGCGTCGCAGTGACATTGGTGTAGGGGTGTGTGCCTGAACCGCCAGTGATGTGATCTCAGTCTGGAGCCCGTGTGACAAGGTAGACGGGCTCGGATCATGACGGGAACAGGTCAGCAGGCCTTTTCCTGCCGAGCCCCGGCCTGGGTTGAACCGGCAACCTTTCTGTTTAGTAGGTGAGCACTAAAGTGCTGAGCCACCAGGGCTCCTCAGCCTGTTGTTGGTGTTACTGTATGTTTCTTCAGTATTGTAGCCAGTTCCCTAGCAAGGCCTTGGAACTCACCGGTGCGGGCAGCATCTGGGATGTATGAGCATGGTCAGCAATTCAAACCCGCCAGCCGCTCCATGGAAACCCCGTGCAGGATCACTGTGCATCATCAAACCAACTCGACGGCACTAAACAGTAACAATAAGAAATTAGCATTTCTGTCGTTCATCTGGTTGAATATCAATTTCTGATGACAGAACCTAACCAATACTGCTTCAGTTGGGAGTAACGCCTCGTCCTTAGTAATCTCCTCTTTGCCTGGGAGGTAGTGTGAAGTTGAATGGCAAACGCAGACGCCTTGTTTTCTAGCGGTGTGCAAGTATAAAGTGATGTTGGGCTAGTTGTTGTGAAGTGTCGTCGCGTCCATTCCGATTCACAGTCACCCTGTATAGGGTTTCCGAGGAGCAGCTGGTGGGTTTGAACCGCTGACCTTGTGGTTCGCAGTCCAGTGGTGCTCCTACAGCGCCACCTCAGGAAAGAAGACCACAAGGTACAGCATGAGAAGGAGTAATGAATGGTAGGGCATGCTGACGAACATTGATGATGTATTTCAGGGAGCACAGTGGTTCGCAGTCCAGTGGGGCTCCTACAGCGCCACGCCAGGAGTCCTGAGAAGGCATCAATGACAGCGCAAAGCTTTCTAGTTGCAGCGATTCCCAAACTGTACGGATGAGTATCAAGAGACTCTAGCAAGTAGACTTGGTCTGCCATACTTTGGGCCTGTGAGCAGGAGAGACCTGTCTGTCCTTGGAGCTGGGCACCATGCTGGGTAAATAAGGGCCAGCAGAAAGGAGGAAGGACACTCAGGAAGGTAGACTAGTACAGTGGCTACAACAGTTAGGGCTCAAACTCAACAGCTGTGAGAATGGAGGCCGGCCTGGCAGGCTTTCATTCTCCTGAGCACAGGGTCTCCTCCGTGAGACACAGTGGCTCCATGGCCCCTAACAACAGCAGGTTTGTTTTCATTCCTTCACTTACACGTTATTAAAGAAGTAAAGCTCTTTCAACTATCCTTCCTATCAATACTAATTTGAGAGCTCTTTCAGGCAACTTTCTTCCTGCTCCACGCTTGTACATTGTGAGCATGGGATTCATAGTCCTCTCTGGTAGGTTACAGAGCCTGGCTGAGCACTTCCGGCCCAGCTGCCCTGTTAGTTGGTGGAGACTCCTCCCTGCTCCAGCTGCTTGGTACATTGGTTCTGTTGGTGTTGGTCGTTCCCCGCCCCCACGCCTTCCTAGATCTTGGCTTTTCTCATGTTTGTGTGGCTATGAGAAATGCAGTGAAGTCAGTTCAGACCGACTGTTTTCACCATTGAGTTAACAGTTTTCAGATCTAGTGTTTTAGCTACAAAGGAACATCACTGGGGGTTAAATGACCCAGGTGAACAGTTTACTTCTCCATCTCTAGATGCCTAGAGAGCTCTCCGTGGGAACAAATCCCAAACCATGTCCCCTTCTAGAGCGCGTCAGTTTCTCAGTCACCCTGTGTTGCTGTTGTAAAGTGTGATGAGGGCTTGGGTGAAAAAGAGACAGGGGATAGAGAGGGCTGGCAGGTAAGGTCTGGAGCCTGCATTGGTGTTAAGTCCAGCAGGGCCTAGCTGCAGGTCTGATGTCAGGGAAGGAGGAAGAACCAGCAGGCCAGCCTCGGATTTCAGCCTGACTCCCCATGTGGTCAACAGGTAGGCTGCTGACACTGACTTGGCTTGGGCTGAGCCACGTTCGCCTTTTCTGAACTGGAGATGCAGCGAGTCCACGGTAGTCTGGGTGGGTTCAGTCACAGAACCGCTAAGAGTTCGAGGAGGTGTCAGGCAGCCAGAGGGGGCTCAGCTTGGCCTCACTTCCCTCCCTGCAGCTCTTTGAACTAAGGTCTGCTCCTCCCCCTCCGAGCTGTGTGGAGAGCCACCGTGTAATCCCACCATCTGGGCTCTGGATTAGCTGAGCATCCACCGGTTTAGGCGCTGAAGCAGTGTGCTTAGAGCATTGCAGGAGGAAAGGGGGAGTGAGGGAGGGAGTGGGTCTCCAGGAACTCCAGCATCTAAACAGCCTGCCCAGCACCCAGCATATACTAAGAAGCACCGCAGAAACCAAGTCCATGGCCATCATGTTGATTTTGACTCTCTAGAGCAGAGTAGAATGGCTCCCTGGGGCTTATGAAACTAAATCTTGATGGGAGTTGACAGCCTCATCTTCCATGGGGCAAATGGTGGGTTTTAACTGCCACCAGGACTCCCTCTAGTGTTGTTGAGTCAGTTCCGATTCACAGCGACCCTGTACAGTGTTTCCAAGGCTGTAAATCTTGGCAGGAACAGGTGGTCTCACCTTTCTTTCATGGAGTGACTGATAGGCTCGAACAGTCTCCTCTGTGGTTCACAGTCCAGTACTTGGTCTATGCAGATGCACTAAAAGCAGGGCCCTATCCTGATAGCGTGTCCCACCTATGTTTTCTGTAGAGCGAGCAGGGGGACAGTGGCCCGGAATCCGGTAGGAGAGAAGGGAAGACCCATCCGTGTGTACCTTGCGTGCAATTAGATATGTTCACGATGAAATCAGATCCTACGAAGTTAATTCACAGCCCTCCCCAGCCTTAGCCCTCGATTCATTTCATCATTCTTTATGTTGTCAATAAGATTATAAAGCTGGTTACTTTATAAAGTGTAGCAAGTGTGTGTGAGTGTGTAAAAGTGCAGTGTGATTCCTAAGAGTTTCAGGGTGCCGTCCTTACCCTTTCCCTGTAACTACAAGGGTGGGTCCAGAATGCCATGCTTTTTGCTGTGACGTTCGTCCCTGTCGGCACAAAGTCAAAGGAAACCTACTGTTACTAAAGCACCTGACATTTAAAGCTCACTCCTCCTCCTCTTCCCCAGCCCCGTTTTCCTTGTTTTCAACCAGACGCATGACAGGTGTGGGTCACGGGGAGTGGGGCCAGGGGCTCCCCCCAAGAGTGGGATGCAACAGGGACGTCTGCAGGTACTAGAGGGCTGGGAAAGAGGAGCTGGAGGGAAGTTAGAGGACAGGGATCCATTATCCTGACACCCACTCTAACTCCTGGCTGTGGTGTGTGAAATGAACCATGTGGGCCCTTGGGGGGCTGCAGCAGGAGGCCAGGCAAGGGTGGCAAGGGCAATTGGGAGGTACGAAGGAATCCACCCTATATTATAGAAACAGCACCCACAGGAATGAGGGGACGGAAGTCTAGGTTCACTGAGAGGTTGACTGAGATGGCCCATCAGCTCTGGTGCAAATCAGGACCTCCCGTGGAGGTATACCAGCTTTGTGCTGTCTACAGGGAAAGCCACTGGAAATGCCAACTGGCCAGTCTGATCTCTGAGTGAGGCTCGATGATGTCCCAGGCCCCCGACTTCACAGCAGCATAAGTGACGTGGGGTGAAGAAACTGATGCAGGTGCAAGGGTTTATGAGTGATGGTGTCAGCTGTCAGTTCCTGAGACCTGGAACAGCCTGCAGAGACCAATGGCTACTTTTGGGGACCTCTCACAACTTTTGATCCCTGCATCTCCATACTCACCTCAGGTGAATTTGAGTGCTTTTCTTAGAGCCATGACTAGACATGAGTAAACCGAGTAAACAGAAGTGAGTGGCCTGTGTTCTCATCTGCATGCACTTTTGTCGCTGCTATCATAGTCACATTTCTCACATCATAAATTTCAAGGAAGAGTCTTAGGGGGTTCAGGACTTCTGCTAGACTTGTTTTCTGCTTGCTGATGGGAGAGGTTTGGGGGATCACATTGAGGCAGGGGGTTCCGTGACAAGACTGTTGACACTAAGGAAGTCTCTAGGTTGTGACCCACGTGCATGCCGTCAGTGGTAGGCCCGGCTTCACTGGTCCGTGGTCTGTAAGAGGTTGCCGTTGTTGGTTCCGACTCATAGCAACCTTATTTGTATAGCGTCCGTGAGGAGCAGTTGGTGAGTTTGAACAGCCGACCATGTGCTTGCAGTCCAGTGCTGGTCCTACTGCGCCACACCCAGAGGTTGCCGTAGAACCAAGCATTTTTCTTGTCCAGTACCTGAGTGAATTTGAGCTGTGGCCACACTCCTCTTGATGTTCCTGGAGTGACTGAGATGACCTAGACTCCATTTAACATTCACAAGGGTCTTTTTAAGAGGGTCATCTTAAAAAAAACACACCTGGTATTAAAAAGTACTCCACTTACTGTATTTGAAGCTACGCTCAAGGTGAGATAAAAGTATCTAGAATTTTTCTGAGAGAAAGCTACACGTTGGGCTGACGGCAGAGCTGGTGGAAAGAAAGGAAAGCAGCCCAGTGGGTATCCTAGTTCTGTGTCCTTCCCACTTCCCCTCTTTACCTGTGAAGAGTAGAGTCTACCTTGCAGGGCTGTGGTGGACACAGAAGAGCTGCAGAATTCTCTCCACACACCATGTTTTGTCATCAGGGCCTGGGACATGGGCACTTGGTCCCAGCATTCTGCTTCTAGAGCCAGGAGTGTATTATACAAATTGTTATTCCCTCAGCTGTTGCCTGAGTTCTCTGAGGGTAGGGCATCTGTTCTAATTCTTCAGTATATTCTAAGTGCCAGCCACAGAGAAGACTTGACTGAGTGGACCCATTCAGAGTCCAAAGTGAAGCAGGCCTCCTTCTCAGGCCCTGGTTTATATCCACCGCATTCTCAGGATGCTGTGTTGTTGATTGATAATGAGAAGGGTCTCGTAGGGGAGCAGAGAACATAACTCAGACCCCATGGCCAGTGTGCGCTCTCCTGGGAGACATCAATCTTACATAGGCGGTCTCAGGCTGGGACTGGGCATGGTGGACTCAGAACAGCCGTCACTCTGTCCCAGGAAAGCTGTGGCTGTCTAAGTCCCTGGTTTGTGGGCAGTGCTGGGCTGGTCACCCTCAGCATTTGCTCCCCAGACTTCTGTGGAGTCCAAAGCTGACCGACCATTGTCTGTGATTCAAGTCTCACTAACTTGAAGTCCATCTCACCTCGTTTTAGAATGTGATTCCAAGCTGCTGGTATTGCTTTGCAGAACACCTGTTACTAACTCTCTTGTTCTACTCTTGTCTTTACTCACCTGTCGGAACCCTTGCCCTGAGCCCACATCACAGCAGCTGACCGCCACTAGCCAAAAGCAGATCTTGCCTCTCTAACCCCAGGCCGTGTAGCTCAAGGAGAGAGCTGCTGCCCTCCCGTGCTCTTCACTTGGCGCTGGCTTCCGCTCACCAAGACAGCCACTTCACGCTGCCACCCTCATTCCGACGTTCCCCGCCATTGCTACTACCCTCGGCCTTCTTGTGCTCTCCCCTTAGAGAAAGCCTACCCCCACCTCCCACGGTTCCTTCTGTTTTCCCTCCCCGATTTCTCGACTTCATTTTACCACAAGATGACTACGAGATATACCTGAGCTTTCATCACATTCCTCCTCCTCTTCAAATCAGTGTCCCCCCACTTTGTTGAGATTGTGTCCCCAGGACCACAGTAGCCTGTCTTGCCCACTCTTAGCAGTCACTCTCTGTCCTTGTCATCTGAGCACATTCTTCTGCCTTCCCTTCCTCTTCGTCTTCATTTTCTGTGTAGGTATAGGTACCATCCGTCTCGGACTCAGCATGCTGAGAGTGAGCGCTGGAAATTTTCCCACCTGGTGCGCACGTCAGTGGCCGTTCATGTTTTCTTCCCCACTAACCTACCTCAGACCCCTCACATGTCCTACCTGGTGGTCTCCTTTGAGAGCCCCTTACCTTCGACTCTTCTACCTACTGGTCTCTTTAAGGACCCATCTTACCTGCGCCCTTGGGTGTTCTACCTGCTGATCTCCTAGGGTCCTCCCTTTCCTTAGACCCCTCGTGTGTTCTACCCACTGCTCTCCTCAGGCTGCCCCCTACCTCAGCCCCCCTCGTGTTCTCCCTGCTGGCTTCCTGGTTGCACCTCACGCATGCCAGGGGCTGCTCACTTGCTGCTAGCAACTTCTTCCCTCACTGCCTATGACTTCCACAAGTGGTGTTCTTCCTTTCTTACATAAACAGAGGTGTTCATGGTAAGCCAATGGAAAATGCAAATAAGCAGAAAAGGACAAAGATAATCTGTGATCCCAGTACAGAGAAAAAAGGAAACTCTAACCCATATTTCATCCCCTTTCTGTCAGCCGTGATATATGTGCTCCCAAGTGCCTGTGGGTAATACAGCAGTCTAACCATGAGCCCTGCTCCTTGTAGAGGGTCAGTGCTGGACATTGTGTCTCAAGTAGAGTAGAGCACACGTTTTCAGTCAGTACATTAGTCCCACAGAACATTGGCCAGGTAGGCTGCCGTCTATGTAAGCAGTCTTAGTGTTGTTATAAACGGCTCTGCATTGAACTCTTCTCATGTGTCACTTACGTCTTTAACCGTTACTAAAGAGTAATGTGCTGCAATGGAAATTGTGGTATTTTTACTGGTTGCCTTGTGCCTTTCAGAAGGGGGGGTCGCCGGCCCTTCCTACGAGCACAGTATGTGTAAGGGTCTGTGCGTGTGCCTGCTTCAGGCCATGTGCACACGCGGGGAGGGCGTACGCTTAGAGCGAACTCTGCTGCTCGACAAGAGTGACGTTTCTGAGCAGTAGGTGATATAAAGAGGGCAGGAAAGAAACCTTTTGTGGTGGTATTGTTTGTTGATGTTTTCCCCATTCACTGCTGACTGGATGTTTTATTTTCTTTATTTCTTATCATGCAGGCCAAAACACTAAGGAAACTGATCCAACAGACATTTAGACAATTTGCCAATCTTAATAGAGAAGAAAGTATTCTGAAATTCTTTGAGATTCTCTCCCCTGTGTACAGATTTGAAAAGAGTGCTTCAAATGTGCCCTTGGTGTAAGTCGGGGATATGGGAACTAGAACTGTGTTGATTTGTTTTGTCTTTTCTTAATTATGTTTAAATTTCTCATTGAAATCAATTCATGTCAGATTTTTAACTAACACGTGAGATTATTTTGTTTGCTAGTGGGGAAGAAAGCAAAATCAGGATATTAATATTTTTTTAATAGCATGTCTGTAGTCAAAGTTAAGGGTTTGTTTTTTAATTGCAGCCCAGGTATTTGATGATTGACTATCTTATAAAGGATAAATACATATCCAAATAATCTTCCCAAGGAAGTCATTGGCTTCAGACCCACTGCAGTAAGCACAGTGTATCTTTGGGCTCTGCTGGTAATCAGTGAAATTACAAATAATTTCTTTCACTGGGTTAGAGAGAGTTCACTGGGTGCGCTGTGAGCTAATGCATCAGATTGCAAAGTCGTTTGAACTGCAAAGTCAGTGGTTCAAGCTCACCATCTGCTTCTTGGAAACCCTATACAGGGTCGCTGTGGGTCAGAATCGACTCAACGGCACTTAACAACAACAACTTAGGTTAAACCGCCTAAGCCATCCCCCCTGGGTATCCATGATAATCTGAGCTCTGTCTCTTCCTCATGTCCCCACTTCACCTCCAATAGTCAAGCTGGATCATCTCGGTGGAGTTGGCGATCGGCCCCGAAGAAGGCATCAGTTACTTGACGGACAAGGGCTGCAACGTAAGTCCGCCACAGCCGAGTGCAGGGCTGCGTACGGTACCGCCAGGTTCTGCCGGGAAAACGGGCGTCCTGCTCAGAGAGCTCCTCAGGCCCTGCGGGGTCAGATGTCCAGGCAGGAGAGAGCAGAATGACTGAGTAGTACAGATCAAGTGTGTGTGCCTGAGATTCTCATGGGGTCGTTGCTATTTACCTGGAGAAATCGCTAGTGTTGGGGATTGGAGGAGATGCCCAAGGAGTGGTCACGCGTGGAGGGCTCATTTTCACAAAATACTGCAACTGTGAAAAAGCCACGCGTATATTGAGTCTTTTTCAGCAGACTAAAGGAGATTCTCCTTGGTAAAGATGGCCGTAGCCTTCCTGGGCGTGTCTGAACACTTAGGTCTGTGTGGGAAGGACCTTGGCTACACTGGAGGGTTTTGTGAGGTGTCACAGACTTCCTCCAGCTCAGGCACTGGGCTGAGCCTGCACCGCTGGCAGCGGGAGGAGGAGCAGGAGTCTGGGGAAGTTCCTCCCAGGCCAGCATGGACACTACCTGTTGTGTCGGTCTGCGTGGCTCTTGCCAACACTTAACGGTGCATCACCCCCTAAACGTCAGCATACGAGGGGCAGACAGTGCGGTGGATGAGGGGAGGGAGGGCCCCATGCTGGAGCTAAGCCTGTGTCTGCCCCTGAGCTGGAGGAACCTCCATGGAGAGTCAGGTCTCCCAGACATACAGCTTCTTGGGGCGGATGACTTTGGCATCACGGTTGGTGCCATGAGAAGTCATCGACAGGTTAGCCTTTCATCCGTAGTCTAAAGGTTGTGCTTTCCTTTCCAAAGCCCACACATCTGGCCGACTTTTACCAAGTGCAGACCATCCAGTATTCCCACAGTGATGACAAGGACCGGAAAGGAATGCTGCAGCTAAAGATAGCGGGTGCTCCCGAGGTAAGGAGTGCCACTCCCATCACCGAAGGAACCAAACCCAGTGCATTTCATGCAGGACCAGGGTGAGCTCTCAGATATACTCATAGGCTAAGCAGTGGACTGCGACCCACGGAGTCGGCGGTTCGAGCCCACCAGTTTACTCCTCAAAACCCTATGTGAGTTGCTCTGAGTCAGAAAGGACTCGACAGCACTTCACAAGATTGTAAATAAAGAATGTTGAAATGCCCTGCAAATAGAACAGCAGACAGATTGCACAGCGCATTGGCACTGCTGGGCGGATTCTCATGAAAACCGAGGACATCAGCCTCTTGGAATTTTCTGAAGAATGTTTCTTGTTGACTGGTGAAGAGATCTCCCAGACTGCATTCTGTGAGATGCTCTCTGGGTGGTAATACTGATAGGAATGGGGGTGGCAGCTGATCCTCAGTGAGCTCTTAGAACCTTCCCTCCATTGTTCAGACGCCACCCAGAAATCAGGAGAATGGCTGCTTCACACAGCCCAGCGAAGTCGCAGCTCTGAGATTGTTGGCCAATCAGGAAACTGAGACGAGATTTGGCCACAGTTGTGGAAAGGGGATTCAGAATAGTTAGGCGAATGAGGACATCCCTGTATTTGAAAATAAAAGACAGCTTTTATTACCACCTAGATAACATTTAAAGGAGCTCTGGTAGTGTAGTGGTTACGAATTGGGCTGCGAACCTTAAGGTCAGCAGTTTGAAACTACCAGCTGTTCGGCGGGTGAAAGATGAGGCTTTCTGCTCTGGTAAAGAGAGATTTACAGCCTGGGAAACTCTGTACAGGGTCGCTATGAGTCGGAACTGACTCTACAGCACATAACAACAACAACAAAGATAACATTTAAAGAGCCCTGGTGGCACTGTGTCTAGATGGTAAGTTGCTAACTGCAAGGTTGATGGTTCAAACCCACCAGCCATCCTGTGGGAGAAAGATAAAGGCGGTCTGCTCCCATAAAGACCCTATGAAGCAGCTCTACCCTGTCAGAATTGCTCAGTGCAGTGGGCTCAATCTTTGGTTTTGGGTAACACTTAAGGGATAGATCTGTGGAAAGTTCGCCAGATAGCATGTTGAGAAGAGAGAGACTTCTGAGCCCTTGAGGAAAACATTCTACAAAAAAAGAAATGAATTTTTATTAGTTTTCTTTAATGTTAGACAACTTATGATGGCCAACTGTTAAAAAAACAAACGTTACTCCAAATTACTCTGGTTTTTCCAGATGAGTCATACGGACTTCCTGATTATCTTACTTCCAGCCCTTCATTCAAGCACCAGAAGGACCAGACATTCAGAAAGGACATTTTTTTCTTTCTCCTTCTCTTTTGTCCTAGAACACCCGGGTCAGATTGAAGAATGTTTCCGTTTCCACCTGAGTTTTTGTCAGGTTTCTGGGAGTAATGAATGTCCTTAAGGGCCAGATTCCCTTGCAGTCGGGCCTGGTCACTCCCGCTCTGCCCCGGGCTGATGTCACAGCCCAGCTGTTCTGTTGATGATCAGGAAGAACAATAATATCTCTCTTATGGTCTCTCCCCCCCTTTAGCCTCTGACAGTGACGGCCCCCTCCTTAACCATTGCAGAGAATATGGCTGACCTGATCGACGGTTACTGCCGCCTGGTGAACGGAGCCACGCAGTCTTTCATCATCAGACCCCAGAAAGGTGAGGTGCACTTGCCGGCAGCATTCCAGGTGGCTCACGTTGGACGCACCAGCTCACCACAGCCTGCAGTCTGAGATGCCGCAGTCGGTGCTGAGCACAGCGTAGCTCTCTGCTCCGTGGTGTTGGAGTGACGGTCCCCTCCCCATGTGGCACGGGCACGGAGCGGAACTTGAGTCAGGCTTCAAGAAAACTGAGCTCCCTCTTCTTGATGACCTTTAGTATTTTTGTGGAAACTTGGAATTCATATTCTTTTGTTTAGTTTGAAGTTGTCCCTTACAATTAGTGTTAAGGTCCACTTACTCCTTTTTCTCACATGTCTCAAAAGCTTAGAATAGTTAGTAGAAGAACAAAGTAAATTCTAAGTCTTGCTGTGGAATGGAACCAGCTCGTCTCAGTCCGAGTTATGTGGGGGTTTGATAGACACACGGGGAGGTGGGTTCCATTGGGCTGGTTTTCTGGAGTGATCAGATGCAGATGTGCCAGGGGAACCCTAACATTGTACAAAGCAGGGAAGCCCTGGGCTTACCTGGGATTCAGCTGATGAGAATGCTGTGTTACCATCCGAGAGCGAGCGAGCGAGCTTTGGTTTTCCTCAGTCCTCTCAGCTGCGAGACAGGGGACTCGGGAGGGCATTCTGTAAATGGGATGCTGTCATATTGCCAGGATCAGTGATGGACTCTAATCAGGAATCTGTTCACTCTGAGGTATGCGTCCAAGGAAGTTTAACGGGTAATGAAGTTTAATTTCCAAGACACTGGAGAAAAGTGACAAAGTCACAAACTACTGGTATCAAGTCCCCACAAGTCCCATTTCTTTTAAAAAGTAGTTTGAGGAAGGTGTGTTGCGATTCGAACCTACAGTCTGCTTCCATAGACTGCAAAACCAAACCCAGTGACACTGAGGCAGTTTTGACCCTTAGTGACCCGGTATGGGGTCTCTGAGGCGGTAAAGCTTCATGGGAGCTGAAAGCCTCATCTTTCTCCCAAGTCGTGGCTGGGGAAGTTTGAATGACAGACCTCAAGTTTAGCAGTTCAGTGCTTATCCTGCAGGGATCCCCAGGGATCTCCTCCATAAATATGCCAACTTTGGACACCCTGTGAGACAGTTCCGCTCGACCCCGTGGGGGGATCATTGAGAGTCAGAATCCATTCTAGGGCAATAGGTTTTCTTGAAAGTACATTGTGCTCTGAAAATAGGTACTGAAAGGTCCCATTGTGGCACTGTGTATAAGCACTGGACTGCTCATGACAAGGTTGGTGGTTCAAACTCACCAGCCACTCCTCAGAAGTTCTACACAGGGTTGCTGTGAGTCAGAACTGACTTGGCAACACCTAACAACAACAGAAACAGAGCCCTAACCCCAAAGCCCCAGAAGTGAGCCTGATACTGTTGGAATCAAGGGTGGCACGACGCATTCAACAAGTGGGGTCCCACCGTGGTCAGGCCAGGGAGTCCTCGCTGTGCTGTGAGACGTAGTAACGGAGTGGAGTCTTTCCTTTTTTTTTTTTTTTTTAATGTTTTTATTGTGGATTGAGTGAAAGTTTATAGGGTATATCATCAGTTTTACATTCAACAAATCATTTATTGTTTTATTACATTGATTATAATCCCCTCCATGTACCATCAGTTAACAGTATTTCTCTCTATCCACTTTAAAAAAAAAAACAAAAACCCACTCAGGCATATATAATAATTTAC